ACATGTTAAAGTGCATTTCATCAAGAAGAGTAAAAAAGATGGACATGGATCATAATATTGCCATAGTGGTCTGGAGCCTTAAGGCAAGCACCAAAAACCAACTTTTGCATGTAAAATATTAATTAAACATACAATATGTAGAATCTAATGACAATGTTTACAATAAAATATCTACATTAATTTAAAATGAACTAAACCTATGTTTGTATATTTTGTTTTGTTTGAGTACTTAATTACTTAAAATAATTTCCAACAGCTATCAAAGCCAGAGAAATCCTTCACAAAAGTTGTGACGGGACCTGTCTTGTCGAGGCGGCAGCCATGATATGAGCCACCATGGCAGACAGGAAATGTTTATCGTTGCCATGGAAACACCGGATGTTACGTCAATGACCGCTGGATGAGGAAGCAAGAATTGCTACTTAAAGCTAGCTTACTGTTGCTGTATGTACTGCTGTGACACATTAGCTCGTCGGTAAATATATTCTCTTTTTCAGGTTTGTTTCGCCCATTCGTCTATGTCAACGTGGTGTCTGTTTTCACCGGGGGAGGGGGTCTCCCATGATTCCCGCTAGCCTCGACGTTATCTTTTGTTATTGTAGTTTTGATCAAGAGTCCCCTGGCGGCGGAATCTACATATTGTGTCTTTAAAGTTAAATAAATTAAAGATTATTTTTTTGACATCTTCTTTCACATCAAATGAAGACAATGCAAAGTAAACGTTTTAACTATTCAACTTGAATAATTGTTTTCAAAGAGAACAATCATGCAGAAGCATGTACCTTTATATTCCAGAATGATGCAGGTGTCCATTTCAGGATGCACGCCGTCCATCAGGATCATAAATCTCAGGTGCTCATCAAGCTGATGGAATCAACGGACATGTCAGTGATCAGTTAGAATATTTGACATTAGAGTTTTGTAAATGTTGCTTTTTTAAATATTTATTTTTCAATGACGTTATTTCATGTTTATATTTTTAATTAACCAGATGCGACTCACGTTTTGCCAGACTCCAAAAGGGACGACGTTGATGTTGGTCAGCTTGACTTGGCTTTGCTCCAAAGCCCTTTTGCATGAAGACAGAGGGAAGCACATGTGAAAAAATAGACACAATTTGAAAGATTTCGTAGTGGTTGATGTGTTGGGTTTAACAGAGCTCCATCTCTTTACTAACCAAAAGACAGGTCTTGATGTGTCACCTACAAAAATGGGGGCATCTGGCCTCCTGTCTGAGAGGACCTTCAGTGTGGGATAACTAAAAAAGGAAGAAAAGGTTAGATCCCTCACGGACAATCTGCATTCTTCAACAAACTGTTTTCTGCAGCACACAAGTTAATATCTGTAAGTTAAAGGGCTATGGTTAAATTGCCTCATAAAAAAAAAGTTAGAGCGGCTGTGTTAGTTCAGCAAGATAGCTCGATGTTGATTAACTATGACTCTTAACGCTCTTTAAGAGATCATGACCTTGTAAGATATCCTGTTGAATGTACTTATATATATGACAGCAATGTTCGCATGTAAGCATTCAAGATGACACATGAATGTGTTTGGTTCTGCCAGTGTACCTGCCTTTCTTTTCTGCAAGTAATTGTGAAGATGCTGTTTGTCTTTGTCTCTTGTAAATCAATGTGTGGCCTGCCAACTTCCTGAAATACCTCTGTGTGATGGGTATTCATTTGCCCATATGTTGTTGTCTGTACGATTCCTCACTCTCATCAAAGAAAATTACGCTGGGTGTCCAATTTCTGTTGTGACATGAAAAAGGAAGTGATTTGCTCAAGTGTGACCTCAGGCTGTGCAGACGCTTGGATGTGTAACCTGCTAATAATAGTGTGGCTGGCCTAAAGTTGCAAGAATGATTCACTTTAGATTGACTTGTTTGATGGTCAACTCAGATTTTAAGATGATAAGATTAATGCTCAATGATCTCCGTGGTCTCTCTGATGCTGTTTTCATACATGCACAAAACGCCTGAAATTCTGTCACCAAGTTTCAGTAGGAGCTACAGGCATGTGTGCATCCTTAACTCATGATGTCTTCGCCTCCTGAGATCCCTCTATGGTGGCCCTGAAGGTCAACTGTCTAAATATTTCACTAGCTGCAAATATATTTCATCTGCTGCAAAATATATTTCATCTGCTGCAAAATATATTTCACAAACCGGAAAGGGTATGTCCATACTACTTGTTTGTGATTTGACTGAAGTCATGTCAGTACATGTGACCTCTCTTCTGCTGTACCATCTCTCCGGTGTGTCGTCTACCTTGCTAGTTTCTTAGACCGGCTTCGAGAGTTTTAGAGTCTCCAACGGAGAAAACTTCCAGCTATGAGGAATATGTGTGACAACTAACTCAGCAAGACTTTTCATGGGCAGCATGTGTGAAAACAGCTCAGAGGACTTTTCCACATCATTTACATCCTATTTTTGATGAAAAATGTACACAATAGGATTCATTTTGAGCCGGTGACACTTTGTACCTGACATGTGTCTTGGCCATTATTCCCATGTTATCCTTGTGAATATTACGTGCAACATTAAGACGGCAATTATAGTTTCTATATAAATTATTAGCATGTCTGACACACAACAACAGATCAGTCTATTATCATGATCTGGCACTAGTGCTTCAGTCCCGGAGGTTTGCTTAGGGCTGATGAAACACGTCATAAACAAATATTGTGTGCTTTCATCAGTGATGTGGTTTATTTGCTCTTCTCTTTAAGTAAAGACATTTAAAAAAATGATTAACACACAGTTACTCATTGTTTACTGTGTCATCTTCTCAGTTTTTAAAAAGGCAAACAGGTGTTGCCTTAAATCCCTCACTGTTCCTCTATCAGGTAAGATATGCCAAGTTTGTTTCTTAGCATTTCTACTGTCTGTAACCTCCAATTCACACATACTCCGTGCCGCGGTCCGTCAGCGCCGCGCACTACGTTGTACTTAGCTGCCACTCTAGTCAATCATTGTGTTCACACAGGGCGCGCTGTGTTTCAGTACGCTGCAGGCACGCGTCAAGCTGGACAGAATATGACAGCCCGGACAGGAAGTCAGACAAGGAAACGCACAGAGCATCTTTGTACCTGCAATGTGTCTTGGCCATTATTCCCATGTCCTCCTTGTGAATATTACATGCAACATTAAGGTGGCAGTTCTAGTTTCTATTTTGACAGAACAAATCTTAATTGCTTTTTGTGTTGACAATTAGGTGTGACCTCCAATGGAGGTATAAGTGCTAGTTGTCTGGTTATTGGGGGACTAAAAGGACAAAATTTACCTAAGGTGGTCCGAGTGCATGTGGCTGATGTAGATGAAATCAGCTGTACACATCCGGTCCAGGCAGTCTGTTGGAGGCTCATGGACAAGCCACCAACCTCGGGCGAATGCAGGACCTATCAACCATGGGTCGAACATGAACCGCTTCTGGCCCAGCTGCACCTCCATGCAGGCGTGGGTCATGTATGTCACCTGTGTGTCGTCAGACAAAATAACATTGCATGGCTCTTGAGACTAGCACAGAATGTGCCAAAATTCAAACTTTTGCTTTTTAAAAAGTTGTATCTGTATATATGTTCAGGTATGATGGCACACTTGTTTCATGTATTAATTTCAATAGGCTTTTCTTTTGTTAGAAGTATACTATAAATCAGGCTTTGCCTTCACTTCTCCTTCCTGAAGCTCCTGAGGCTCTCGCAGGTCAGCCAGCCAGGGGTCCATGGGGCTCAATTCAACCAGCTGAAGCCCCCCATCATCCAAAATGTCCACATCTGTGTGTGAAGAAGAAACATGTATTTAAGTCAAAAAATTAACAATGTCTGCAAAACCACCAAATATGGTTTAAAAATCGACCATGGGCAGACTTCTTAGTAAATCTAAAACACATAGAGACACCGCTCAGGTGAATCAGCGCAGAGCCTCCATCACGCCAATGAAGGCTTTGCGCTGAAACACGTCCGTTGTTGATCTGTAAGCTGCTGCTCTACCCAGATAATACAAATTTTGAAGGACATTGAATGTTCTGACTTCTCTGTTTTTCTCAACATTTGGACCCTGGGCTTTAAAGGGACAGTTTGGGCTGTATTGCAGTGGTGATGTGTGAGGTACTTAAAAACAGTAAGTGTTCTAGCGACAGGTTACAGATCCTGACAGAAGCCAGTCAAGGAAGGCCCCTTCATTGAAAACCCAGTCAGAGTTCTGGCAGGGAACCTGGGATGTACATATAGCTGCAGACAGGTTCTGTTTTACCACGTAAATATATCTTACTTTGAGGAAAAACTGATTTAAACAACCACCATAGAACCAGTCTATTCAGGGCCCAAGCACTAGCCGATAGTTTGTGAGGACTTTATTGAAACTGTAGGAGTTATTATTATTTTATGTTTGTTAGTACGTATTTTCGTGAATTCATTCATCTTGATAATTTTGTGGATATATCTTTGAATTGTGTTAACCATCTCAGAGTAATTCTTCTTTTAGGTTTGTGAAGCTGTAATACATATGTGTTAGAAAACTCATCGCTGCAGAGTTATATTTGGATTGAAGTGTCTGTTGTGAGCTAAAAAGGAAATGTGACTCTGAGACTGAAGAAATGTATATGTGTTATATTTACGAGTCAAAGTGATGTCTTCTTTCTAGCCTTTTAGAGATGTAACAAAGCAGCCAGGAATTTGTGGGCTGCAACTTCTAGCAGAATATAAGCAACACTGTGAAGATGAAGACTTTGCCAATGATGGTCAATGATTGCCAGCGATTGTGAGATCTTGGTCAGCATGGGTCAGCGATGGTCCGCACTTTGTCAGCCATGTGTGTTGTGTTTCTATGTTGTCTGATCATGGCTGAATAAATCCTAAAATGATCCACAGTCTGTTTCACGATTTCATCATTTAATCTAAACAGCAGCGACAATCCCCACCCAACAATGTTCTTTTGCTTGTGTAACGTATTGACCCAAAGTGAGCCCAAACTCACAGGACACAAATGAAAACCCCACTCTTCCTGTTTACTGATAACAAAAGCCATTCATCTGATTAACTGTTTCAACGAGACTTTGCATCGGAATGTGAAGAACAGGACGTCATAAAAACAAACCTTTTTGCAATAAGCCTTTAATCTACGTTGGTAAACCAGACCACTTGGATACGCGTGAATAACTTTCAGAATAAACAATCCCAGGAAGACAGCCGTCTGCCGAGTTAATCGACACGGCAGGGAAGGCCTTTGATGTGATCTGGACTATCTCAAACGGACTTAAAAGCTTTTAGACCCGTTTAACAAACTGTCTTAACCAACATAATCCATTTCTGATATGAAAGAATTTTGGTTCAATCCCTGAATCGGATATATGTATCCATGACATCAAGACTAACACTTCCATGCAAGTTAGATTCCGCTACGATCATCTATGACGAACTTAGATATTGAAAAACTAAATCACATTACCTGGTGAACTCTCCTTGAATCTTACTTGGAGCACTACTGCCCCCTCGTGGCAAGAGCGCTATACCGACCTGAGTTTCAGGACGGAGGAATTACGATAGTTAATATGTGATTTTGTCCTAGTTATAAACTTAGTATTTTAAGATGTGATTTTATACTCTTCATACTATATTAATGTGTTTTTGAATGTTGAATGGTATAATGCTGATTTCATTCCCATACAGGCGGAAATCGTCTAACTGTCTTCAGGTTGGACGTAATGTCTATTTCATTACATAATTGTTTGAAATGTTTAAAGGTCGGCGATAATTCTACATACGAATATTGACATGGTGATGTTCATATGTTCAAAGTTCTTATTTATGCTCTTAATAAGTAAAGAACTTGGAGTGGATAAAATTAAAAGTTAAACATCGGAGGCGGGTTAGATATTAGGCCCCTCCCCCTCGTAAAAGTCATCCCCAGGATAAAGTAGCTCGTCTCTCAGGAGCTCCCTCTCTTGTCATTTTCTCTTCTTACTTCTTCTAAAACTCTCTTAGACTTCTCTTGTTAATTCTTGTTTCAAACCACTTTGTTTCTTCTTTGAATTTAAGTCCGGATTCGTAGGACCTGCAGAACTCGAATCCAACTTAAACCAACCCTGATTCTTCATGCACGCATTCTAAGGCTTTTTCCTACAGCCTAAGATTGAGCGCTGCTATCTTTTTCTCCTTTTTGAAGTATTGATCATTCGTCTTCCAGAACAGTAATTTTTCTGATCCTCACACTTGACTACAAGTGACCATTCAAGTCAAGTGAGGATCAACGAGCGTCAATCCTGACGAACGTTAATTAAGACTCTTTGAGCCGCTGAGAGACGGACCCACAGACAACTGCTTGGACCGCTGTGTTTTTCTTCAAACCCATCTCATTGTCGACTCCGACCAGACCTGCTACGGCGGTTATCGTGGGCCACCGGCATTCCTGATCCGAAAGAACTCGACGGGAAGTCTTGGCACCATTCGGCGGAGTTCAATTGAACACTACGTCTCAGTAAGGAAGCGTTCTGATTATGAGATTGGGGTGTTGAGTCAAGCTTGTGGTATCCGAATCAACATGCAATATGAGCTGCTGGGCTTGCCACAATGAGCCAATGGGCTTAGATCAGTGATATCACACTGACAAGACGTGACACTGGCAATTTTTTTTTCGAGGGGGGCTAGAACCGAGCATTACATGCAGCTAATGCTACAGCTAACAGGAGGACGTAGGAGAAGCCGCATTTCCGCAGACTTTGAATTTTTGCAAATAGATGTGCCTAAACATGCACAGGACACTTGGAAAACACACTAAAGAGCATATAAAACCAGAAAAAGCATAATATGGGACCTTTAAGAAAAGTAAAAAAAATGCTATAATTGCAGAACTCACCAAGCTCGTCCTGAAAGAAACTGTCTGGTGGATTTACATATTTCATTGATGACACATTCAACTTCCAGTTGTGTTTGGTGCATTTAACAGTCCTGTGAGAGCAGAAAACAAAAAAGCCCATTAAAAGATTTTTGTTACTGTTATCTAAAGTCTGTTTTTTTTAGGCTTTTCATACAACTACCTAACAAATAAAATGTTTCTGACTGTAGCAATCTTCATCACTTAGCCTTTGGTCAGCTATCAGCAGGCAGCTCTTGATGATAAAAGCTCCGACCCCTAACAACAGCCGGCTCTTTAGATCTCACCTGCCATCCAGGTCTTCGATGTCTTTGATGAATAACCCTCCTTGGTGTTTGCATTGGTTCTTGCATGCTCTAAGGCCGTCGTTGTTCTTGTATATGATGTAACATTTCCCGTCCTCTTGGCTTTTCTTGAAATTGATTCCCTCTTTGAGTGAGGCGACTGCTTCAGCATCCAGTGTGAGCAACGTCTTCGCACTTTGAGAAGTCATCTTACCTAAAAACACCAGATTAGTTCAACATTTGTGGCACAGAAAAGCTAGGACAAATGTTGAGAATAGTTCATTTATTTTGTATTACTAAATCACTGGCTTAACTGCTGTTATGTCTCTCCATTTGCAACAGCAACAGCTCCTTTTGCTGCTCAAATGTCAAGGAAACCGAAGGAGAAACAACAGACTCACTTGCAGTACACCGTCCTTCATTACTGGGAAAACATTATTTTCGGTAAAAGTGGCCTAAACTATTCAAAAGCTCCTCAGAGGGAGAGTGAACAAAACTAGAAACAAGTCCCTGGTGCGGGCCAAATCTGGAAATTGGTCTGGTAGCTGGAGAGGTGCCAGATCACTTCCTGAGCACTGCCGAGGCGCCCTTGAGCAAGGCACCAAAGCCCCTCCCCACCACCAGCTCAGGAGCGCCCACTGTGGGCAGCCCCCTCACACTCCATTAGTGCATGTCCATAGGATCCTGTTTGTGAATGTGTATATTTCAGTCTATGTGTGTGTTGCATGACTTACAGAGTGTAAAAATAGAATTTCCCCTTGCTGGGATCAATAAAGTAAATCTTCTTCTTCTACCCCAAAACTGACTAACTACCACACCTAGTCTTCGTGCAGCTAGTGACAGTGGGTACTTACGCACTCGAAACCACGGGAGGAAAAAGGCAACTGCTAAGAAGAACACTGTTGCACATCAATCCTGGAGAAGATTTAAGCCAAATATTGTTGAAATGTGTAAACTAATCCCATGTTTGAATGAGGGAAATTAAAATGCAATCGCATTAGCTGCTGTTCCTCATTCTGCTGGTTTAGCAGACTGGTTTTCTAGCTCAAGTTGCAGTGTGATGTTAAGTTTCCTGTATCCGGGTAAGAAAAGCAACACAACAACAGACGCTTTTCATCACTTCATCAGCATTGCAGACAGTAGTGGTAATACCCCTTATATACCGGATATGTGTCACATATTTATTCACACAAAACAGTGGCTATTCTGCCACAGTGCACAGACACTTAAGAATTAAGTGTTAATCTTGAATCACTTAAGACAACACCATTACAGAGACTTTTGGGTCCCATATCCTGTTACCATCTGGCTCGTACTTTTTTGCGTGTGTGTGTTGGTGTACTCTTCTTATAACCCACAGATAATCTATTTCATTGTAACTATGGGCAACAACCTCTAAGCCCTTATCACACATTGACTTGATCTTTATGTGTGCAGGGACAATGCAGGTTGGTTATGAGGGTTATTGAGGTGTGTGAGAATGTGATTCTGGATCAGAGTGCATTGGTTGCTTTATGTTTAAGTCTGTTACCATACCAACCCAGTGGTGTAGCACAAATACACACAACGACCAAGACTACGGTGCTAAGTGGCCGCTCCTCCAGTAGCTCCGTCTGTGTCGTGTTCAGTTTAAAAAGTTAATTGCTATTATTTTTTTTACCTTTGCCTTTGTGTAGTACACTCACAGTGTAGAACTTTATCCTATGGATACACTTTCTGCTTGTCTTCAACATTGCACAGAAAAAGCTCTTTATTTAAGGGTGCTCTTACTCGTTTTTTTTCCGGGTGTATGCAAACACCATAAAGCATTCATCACCATCTCTGGAGACTTTAATCATCTAACACCAGACTCAACACTACCAGACTTTTATCAGTTTATAAGATTCCATATCCGGAAGAACAGGAGCAAAAAAGGATTTATTTTACATATTTAAAATACATTTAAAATCATTGTTGTTAGACTAGCAGACCTCCTGAATGCAAGTCCATGAAGGACGCTTACGCTGCCATTCCTCCTCCCCCACTGGTGAAGTCTAAACACAACCTCATGCTGCTAAAGCCACATTACGAGCCACAGATCCAGAGACAACCATAACTTCAAAACCCCTCAGGACTTGGTCTCCTGAGGCTCTGAGAGACTGTTTTCAGACCCCTATCTGGAGGGTCAGACTGGTGGAGAAGGCTGGCTCTCTGATGGTGGCAGAGAGAAGGAAACTGGATAAACTCCTCCTGCACCCTTACATTAAAATATCTAAATTATTATTTTTTTAAATTGACTTGTTGCGTACTTACATTACCTCAAATATTTCTAAGAGTTATCAAAGCCAGAGAAATCAGTATAATTTTTATAATTGTAACGGGACGTGTCTTGGCGGCCACCATGATAAACCCGCCATGACAGACACGAAATGTTTATCGTTGCCAAGGAAACACCAGATGTTACGTCAAAGCCCGCTGCATAAGTAAGCGTGAGCTGCTACTGAAAGCTGCCGGACTGTTGCTGTAATGTGCTGCTGTGATAAAAACATCATGTAAATAATATACATTAGCTCGTCAGTAAACATATTCTCGTCCTCGGTTTCAGCCTGCCAGAACAGGCTCTGACCCTTCCCAAACTCAGACCAGAACCTATGTGACTGCATCCGGTCCCTCTGTTGCCTTTTATCAAAATCTCTATATCAATGTTGTGTACTATTCAAGGTTTTCTGTTCTGTTATTCCTTTTTTTTAACATTACTGAGAATCTCTTGTTTTCCTACTTGTATACATTTTTAAATCTTTTATTTTTTGTAAAGGGACAGAGCAAGAAGACAGATTGATATGAGGGTCCATGAGGAACTTTATTCAGAATTGCCAGGCATGTACTTTTCCTCTCACATACACACATGAAAGCAAACTCATTCACATATTATACTGAAACCACACACACACACACACACACACACAAAGTGAAATGCTTTTACATACACAACTGAAACACTCTCACACAAAAAACTGAAAAATTATACGTTCACATACATAACTCAAAAGCTCTCATGAAAACTATTGAAAAGCATTCACATGTACTAGTAGACTGTGCTCATATACACAAATGAAAATGCTATTGAAAAGCATTTACAGATTTCAGTATGTTATATGAGGGCATTTCAGTATGTTATATGAAAGGATATGGAAGGATTTCAGTATTCAGTATGTGTTTAAGCCTCTCCACCCGAAGCTCATTATTATTTTATTATTATTATTGATTATCGAATTTATAGGGATTAGGCTAAACGATATTACACATGGTGTAACCATGGTGACTGTCTGTCTGTCAATCAACAATGTCCCGCCCCCTGAATTAAAGGGCCCATATTATGCTTTTTCTGGTTTTATATGCTCTTTAGTGTGTTTTCCAAGTGTCCTGTGCATGTTTAGGCACATCTATTTGCAAAAATTCAAAGTCCGCGAAAACACGGCTTCTCCTGCGTCCTCCTGTCCTCCAATTAAAATATTAAAACCCAAAATGTAGCCTACAGAAGGTTCAATGAAGGAGTTGGGCAGTCGACAGTGAAATAATCTTACAGTTTAGATAGATCTACTAACAGAGTGCATGTTGAATAAATAAATGGCTGTGTTTCAATGGAAGCACCTAAAGTCAACACAAGTAGGAAGTTAATCAACCACCAGATCCTGCCAGAACAGGATCTGAGAGAGAGATAGAGAGGGAGAGAGACAGAGAGAGAGAGGAGAAAGGGGGAGAGAGAGAGAGGGAGAGAGATACAGGGAGACAGAGAGAGAGAGAGAAAGGGGGGAGAGATAGAGGGGAGAGAGACAGAGAGAGAGAGAGAGAGAGAGAAGGGGGAGAGACAGAGAGAGACAGAGAGAGAGAGAGACAGAGGGGGAGAGGGAGAGAGAGAGACAGAGGGGGAGAGGGAGAGAGAGAGACAGAGAGAGAGACAGAGGGAGAGAGACAGAGAGAGAGAGAGAGAGAGAAAGGGAGAGAGGGAGACGGATGCACGTCGTGATTTTACGCACTTCTCCCCACTTGATAGAAAATAATGAAGCTCTTACTGCTCTTTAAACATGCTGCAATGGTCACTGTGCAATAACTAGCTTACTATTCTTGTACATTTTGTATATACTGTGTGTTGCTTTATCTTGTCTTTAATCTGCTGTCTGAATATTTTTTATATTTTATTTTATTTGTATCTCGTACATTGCTGATTATTGTGAATGCTCCGATGTGCCCGAAGATCTGTGTATTCAGGGACATGTTTTTTTGTCTCCTCCCCGCTCTGGCACTTCAGGAATTACTAATTAACCACGGGATGTGCGCACACTACATTTATCTAGAAATGATGGCATTATTATATTTGTGAAAACACGTTTTCCAGCTCCTGTAGCGGGGATGTTAAAACGATTATTAAACTTAAAAGGAAGGTTTAAAAAAATAATCCATCACAGGAACTTTAAATAATTCAGAATAAACCCAAAAATGAACATTTGGAGGTGCATACCGGTAACTAAGTCAAACAACAACATTGCTCTAAGACAGGGGTGTCAAAGTCCTATTGGTATCGGACTAATTTTGCTGACATCACTATAACTTGACACATGGATTTATAGGCTAATGTATGATTAGAAAAAAAAGGTACTTGTATAGAAAACTATATGTTAACGCATAAAATGTAAAAGTGATTAAGCAGAGGGGTTAACTCTGTCATTGCAAACTGCATGTTGGCACATGGAAATATTTAAATGTACCACATTACAGAAGAAAACATCAATAATTATGTTTTGTTTGAGATTATTATATTATGTTTTAATATTGCTGTTCAAGGTTATAGAAACTTTGACACAGGTGATTCTACCTGCCCTGGTATCAGTGCATTACTAGAGAAAGACAGAGAGACAGAGAGAGAGAGAGAGAGAGAGACAGAGAGAGAGAGAGAGACAGAGAGAGAGACAGAGAGAGACAGAGAGAGAGAGAGAGAGACAGAGAGAGAGAAGAGAGAGAGAGAGAGAGAGAGAGAGAGACAGAGAGAGGAGACAGAGAGAGACAGAGAGAGACAGAGAGAGAAGAGACAGAGAGAGAGAGAGAGAGAGAGAGAGAGAGACAGAGAGAGACAGAGAGAGACAGAGAGAGACAGAGAGAGAGAGAGAGAGAGAGAGACAGAGAGAGACAGAGAGAGAGAGAGAGAGAGAGAGAGAGACAGAGAGAGAGAGAGAGAGAGACAGAGAGAGACAGAGAGAGAGACAGAGACAGAGAGAGAGAGAGAGAGAGAGACAGAGAGAGAGAGAGAGAGAGAGAGAGAGAGAGAGACTTTAGATCTGTGTGTGTCAGGCCACAGCACAGTTTGCACTCCTTAAGGTTCATTACAGATAAAACCTGCTCACATGAATAAGTTATCACAAACACACAGAGTGTCTTTGATGCAAACAGTCATCTTCAGGTATTTTAGTGTGAGGCATTCTAAAATGATAACATGTTTCCAAACCAACAGACTTGAATTGATCCTTCAGCGTTGCGCACTGCAGTCTGATCAGCTCCGTGTGGAGTGCACGTTCTTCAACTAAGTAAACTCAGTTAAAAGACTTTTGATATCAGTCTGGCTGTCCGTTCTTCTCCGTGTCCGTACTATCGTGATCTAACTCTGTCACTGACTTTTTATGCGTCATGAATCTGTGCCATCTCCGTGCGTAATTCGAGGAAGCATTTTAGCGCTGCTCCTCGGTTAAACCAGCGGACCTCTGTATGATCGGGCAGCCTGTGCGTGATATCGTATTTGGATAAGAATGAAATGTTCAGTAATAGTTATATTTTTACAGTCTGATGAGAGCTGGTGATAAAGGCGCAACAGCAGGCTACTGCATTTAGAAGTGATGAAACTTTTAGATGATCAACACAACACTTTCACATCTGGGTGACCTAAAAATGAACCATCTGTAATTAAAATCAGTTAATATTCATTTTAATTTACTGTTTAATAACCAGAGGTAAAATAAGTCGGGAGATGCATCAGTCTCAACGCCGGTGTCCACAACCTACACTTAGTCTGGATGTGAGGAGACGGTCTGGGCCGTTACGCATGGAGGATTGCTTTTTATTTACACGAGCTGCTCTTTGTAGCTCACTCCATAGGAAGCTTTGTTATTATTAGTCAACATTTTGTTTTACATCAGTCAAGACAGGAGAAGCTGGTAAGAAGTGTGCACAGAACTGAAGACCGTCATGATGCGCGCGCAGTGCAGCGGTTAAGTCCCGTAGCTTTGATACGATTCTGGCAACTTGTGAGCAAATAAAACTAAAGAAATATCGCTCCTTCGATCTCTCTTGAAAACCTGCATTCTGTGTCACCTCTCTCAGGTGTTCAGCCTGTTTGCTGATGTGATGTATTACCAGCGTAATGCAGGAGCAGCTCGTGCGCTCGGCCACTCGTCTTTTTGATGATACTCCCTGCTGAGAAGATAGTTCAAAGTGCCCCGTTTAATTCATTTTCGTATCATGACATCAACCTTTACGTTGCTCATTATACAAAGGTTTTTAATCAAATTCGGGGAAAATAAGTATTACAAATATTGAATTTATACGGATACGGCCCGCAGTTCGTTTGTTTGACATCCCTGCTCTAAGAAGTGGAGCAAGTTTACATTTAGATAAATGAAACTGAAAGAAAAAACAAATCCAAGTAGCTACAGTATCTGCATTCACCTGACTTTTAAAACAGAGCAGATTTGTATTTTCTCATGTTAATGCAATATGCTTCCATGTGTTTTTCACTGTTATTGGACGCTTTCTTTACCTTTAAAAACAGTGCAGGCAGAGGTTTGACTTCCTTAATGCTCAGTTTGAGCAGAAATATAACCTTGTAGCCTCATGAGGATTAATCATCATTTCAAAGTTAAAAACAGGTCGAATGACTGATCATATCGGTTGCCTGAGACAATTGATTTAAAAATGAACTGTCACTTCTTTCATTTAGAGCTCTTTGATTGACTTTATTAGTCACTCCTGTAGATTCCCCTTTAAATTCATGAATTATAAATAAATGACCCTCTTACACCTGCGTGTTTAAAGCAGACTCACCTCCAAACAGATGGGCTGTAGTCCAGGGAGTAGCCTAATGGACAGGAGATGTTGCTCTGCAGTGTTTGAAAATCATGCGACAGTGGTTGTTTGTTGTAGGTTATAATATCTATGAGATCAATCAGGATGTGGTGCAGGGGGAGAGGAAGTGAGCCGAGGGTAAAAGAACGGAAATAAGCAGTGTAACAGATGTGATCAGGGGAGTGAAGAAAACCAGACTTTGACTGTTTTCTAGCTTTTATTTCCTGCAGAAGACCAAAGAACATTCAATGTGCCTTTTGGACATTTGTTTTCTGCACCTCTGCTCCCTCAGCAATGCAAAACGGCACTCAAAACAAATTTATATTACATAGAAATATATTACAATCATCATTTCAATATTTTAACTATATGTAAATATTTATAACCAAGAGCTGCTACAAATGGCTGAAAAACTTCGGTTTTACAGTGTATATTAACAATAAATCTCATTAAAAAAACATGAGAAACAGTATACCAAATGGTAAAACAGTGACACCTAGTGGACAAAATAAACGACAACATGCGGCTGTAAAACAAAACAGAAAGTATGAAAATACAAGGAAAAACATACCTGCAGAATATGTAGGATATTACACAATTCGCGCCAAAACCACTACATTAAAACAGTCTCCAAAGTGATATAAAACTCTCAAAACCTAAACAAAATGACTGATTAACATCGTATTACTATCAGTTTATAAAATAAACTGAACATTACAACTTAAATCACTTATTATCCACAGTAAATAAGATAATGAT